AGTGGGATGCTGACTTGGTCAAAGCTGTCCGTGGTCTGCCCTGGAAGACCTCACGTGAGAAGACTGGGGAAGGTGCAAAGCTACCAGAATCTTTGGTAGTACGGCAGGATGTTACTGAAGGTTTGCCACCGCCTGCGCGAGAAGTGGCCAGACCTGAAGTGGCTCCTCCCAGAAGGGTCTACATTCGCCAAGCCGAATTTTATGCCCATGGGCACACTGCTGGTTGCGACGCCTGTGCAGCCATTCGCGAAGGACGGGACGAGCAGGCATCGACCACTCTGAGCATTGCCGCAAGCGCATTACCGATGCCCTGAGAGAAACAGTAGCCGGACAAGCCCGACCGGACCGAGAAGGCCAAAGAAAACAAGAGTTCTTTGAGAAGGTCCGAGAGTCGGATGAGAAAAGGAGAAAAGCCAGTACCGGCCAGGAGGCGAGCCAACCGAAGGCCAAGGCAGCGCCTCCATGGCACAGCAAAAGCCTTTAACCATCGCACGGCAGCCGCCATTGGGACAAGATCTCCATGGTAGGTCAAGTGCCTCTAGACCAGGTGGTGTAGCTGCTTCAGCGGCGCCGCCTACAGGTCAGAAGAGGAAAAGCGAGGGTGGAGGCGACGAGCAGCGAGCTGAGGTACCACCCACTGAAGCGCGATCAGAACCTCAGAAACGGAAAGCCGCAGAGAGCACTGAGGGTATGATTGAAGAGCTCATTGCACAAGAACGGGAAGATTTCATTGCGAGTGTTCAAGGGAAGACTAACCCTACCTGCGATCTGGAGGACGATCTGTGGGAGGAGAAGTTCTTTGACGAGAACACCGGCAAGCAACTGCCACCTGAAGGTGTCAAGCAAGCCCGCGTGGAGAGATCGAGACGATCAACACCATGGGTGTGTGGGAGGTTATTCCCCGTCCTCCTGGGGAAAAGACCATCGGTGCACGGTGGATTGACATCAACAAGGGTGATGCTTTGCATATGAAACTGCGTTCCCGCTCGGTGGCTCAAGAACTGAAACGCAAGAAAGGTTACAAGGACGGCGAGGACCAAGCCGCTTGGCCCAACTTCTTTGCTGCTATGCCACCGCTTTCGAGCCTTCGAGCGCTGTTTACCTTAGCTACAACTGCTAGAGTGCCAGACAAAGCCGGAAAGCTCACCAGAATGGACAAAGACGGAGAAGTGTGTGTCCTGTTCATAGACGTGAAGAAGGCACACTTCTGGAGCCCTGTTAGGAGGCGACTTCTGGTGGAGCTACCCCCGGAAGCTGGGGAAGACAAGTCAAAAGTTGGTCTGCTGAAAAGGAGCCTCTACGGAACGAGATGCCCCTTCCAACTGGGAACATGCCATTAAGGATGTCATGGAGTCTATAGGTTTCAAGCAGGGAGTCTCCAACCCTTGCCTGTATGTCCATGATGAATTCTCATTGCGCTGTAATGTTCATGGGGATGATTTCACCGTAGTCGGAAGCTACAACAAGCTTCAATGGCTCATCAAAGAACTGAAAAAGGCCTGGACCATAGAGGTCCGTGGTATCTTGGCAAGACCCGGTTCGCGTCTGCCAAATGTGTGCCACAAAATCTCAGTCACGGCATAGAGCTAGAAGCTGATCCTAGGCACGTAGAACTGGTGCTAGAACAGTTAGGACTTGAGAAGGCTGCTCCTGTCACCACTCCGCTGGTGAAGAGTAAAGGAGATGAAGAGGAAGTTCCCTTGACTGACCAGGAAGCAGGGTACTACCGGTCAGTGGCTATGAGAATCGGTTACCTATCAATGGATAGGCCGGACATGTTGAGAACTGTCCGTGAATTGGCAAAGGGTTTAAAAGCCCCTACCAGCTTTCATTGGAGCTTGCTAAAGCGTGCTGCAAGATACCTGAAGGGTGTTCCACGGCTGGTTCAGCTGATACCCAATCAGGATAGCTTCAGCATTATCCAATGCTGGTCGGATACTGACCATGCAGGTTGTGTGCGAACTCGCAAGAGCACAACTGGCTCAGTCATCCAACTTGGCCGATCCGTGATCAAAGCCACAGCAAAAGGGCAAGCTGTTATTGCGCTCTCATCTGGAGAGGCGGAGTACTATGGCCTCATTTCGACGGCCAGTGCCGCTTGGGGAGAACAAGCTATGCTTGCTGACTGGAACATTTCTTGTCCAGTAAGCGTCAACATGGACGCCACGACTGGAATCTCCATTGGCAGCCGAAGGGGGCTGGGAAAAGTGAAACACATAGATACCTGTTAGACGCTGGGACGATCAGAAAATTCCTCAGCAGAATGGGTTTCAATGCCAGAGATGGGAAACACGACCTATCTCTTAAAGCCTGAACACCTCACTCTGCTCATGAGACAGCTGAAAGCCATCTCATTCGGGAGGCGTGACTGGATGTGAGGGTAGTTTAGAGGGTTGTACAGTTTTGCATGTCATGTGATCACAAAGTGATCTGTTTTCAACTTACTTTTGGCTCAAGCCAATACTGCACGCAGCTAAAAAGTGCATTCATTTAGGGTTTAGGGGGTTCAAGGTTTGGCGTTGCATAGGGGTCGGGAAGGGATTCTAGAGGGATGAAACAAGGGTGTATGTAGGGGTATAGAGGGATGATAGCAAAGATCGAGAATCCAAAGGAAAAGACATTGCAAGATGAATTTATCAGAATACGGGTTATGCAACTTGCCTCTGGTAAGTAAGCAGAGAGTGAAGGAATGGAAAAAAAAGAACATGGGCAGGTATCACATTATTTGGGATTATATAAGGATTGCTATAAGGCCCCATGCCCTAAAGCCTAGACCCTAGGATCCATCCCTGATCTATTTGTTAACCAGAGGTAACTATTTGCTCCTGGAGGTGACTTCGATAATCTCCCCTTGTTCTCCACGAAATGGTACGCTCATTTTGCAAAGCCGTCCATGTGAAAACTCCTCCAATGGGAGAAGGCACGCAAGGTAATGGGTCGCCCCAGGAATTCTTCTGTTGCCTCACTTTTCATAGAACGCACAAGGAGGGAAATTGGCCAGCCAACATCATAAAGATTACATCTTCCTTTTTTGGTGCTGTGTAGGCAGAACAAATCTCTCTTGATTATCTTATTTCAGCTACAAAAGAAACTTGGTAGTTTCCCTAAATGGGGGGACCCCAATTTAGACCCCCAAACGCTACAACCCTGAATATGGGGATCCCCAAATACGGTACCCCTATCTTTGGAAACCCCCCCATGTGCTGATTCTGGGCATCTGCAGCCTGAGGAGATCCCTTTCTCAAAAGCCTTTGGAGGCAAGTCATGGGCGCATCAGGGACAGGGTCTAGGGTTTTGGGTTGGGTCTGTCTGAAGAATACTTTGCTCGGGAGCAGGAGATGTTGCTCAAGGCTTGCTTGGCGATGACCCATCTGTAGGATCAGCTAGATAAGACAGCCACCTGGTGCTTCGTATTCCATAGAGTTGTCAGTTGTGCTGATGCCGTTCGAAGCCAGGCGACAAGAAGCGGGGCAGAAAAAATTCAGCTATCTGCTCAGCGTGCTAAATTCATGGGTTCCCCTTCTATCCCTCTAGGTTCCTTCTTTATTAACCCTGAGAAGGCTTGGCTAGGGGAACCCATGATCAATCGGCATTTGGTCGGCAGGGCGTCTGCACAGAAGAAATGACTTCCTGCCTGTTAGTAGGGAATGGACGGATGGATCCTTAAAATAGCCCCTATACAATGGTCAATGGTACCGTGCTTTCCATTTTCTTTTCTATGCCTTTATTCCCTACTACAATCAGCAAGATGACGCATCTTGCCTCAACTGAGGCAACTCCTACATACATTCCTCCTACAACACCGACAGGCTTTGATCTTTTCCAGCCAGCTGCTTTATCGCATCATTGTCACCGATGCAGGTTACATGCGGCCATCTCCGTCATACCCAAATGCGAACATGTTCCCGTCTCCTTTTGGTGCAGTGCCACCAGTGCTTGCCTCAGTGATGCTCTCATTCCCGGAGGCTGCAAAGTTCCGGTAATCTATTGGCTTTGTGAATGCAAAGTGCCTGACGTACAGTATCTTGAAGTGGAAGCCTGACATGAGACTTCGAGCGCAGGCTTTTGATTTGACCATGATCCTAGGTTCCCGCTACAAGTGCGAATGGTACGAACCTTGCTTCCATCCTTCCGGGCGCCTCCGCCGAGACTTTGTTCATGATCAAGTCGGCAGCTCAGCCTCAACACCGTTCCTAACAATGCACATAGGAAAGTCGACTTCTAGTGGTCAAGCTACCAACAAAAGAATACCTGTGCTTATTGTTGTTTCTCGATAACATAACCTTGCCAGATTGACTCATTCTTATGTGGTTCTTTCTGTTGTTGCTTCTGCTGCCGCTGCTGCAGCTGCCGTGCTTGTTATTGTTATTCCCCCTTAAGTAGATACAATATGGCTTTGGGTATATTACAATAAGATCCTCATACAGGCCATATTCTATCTACTTAAGGGGGACTCTATACTTTTGCTTCTGCCTGTTCTTCTGCTTCTTCCTGTTCTTGGGGACGATGCTGGGCACGGCTGTTATCGCTTTAGAAGTTGTTGCAATCGTCGTTGTCACTGCTGCTGTGAGTGCTGCGAGTGCTTCTCCTCCTGCCGTCTTTCTCTTTATCTGTGGTGGTGTTGCTGCTGTGGCTCCTCTTACATTGATCTGCCCCGCAGGGGCGTGCCTACAGCCTACACACGCCAGCAGTTCGTTGACATGCTGAAGAGGCATATTGCATTTGTCTTGCATCCAGTCTTTTGTGCATAGATTCTCTGAATTAGTCAGAGGATGTTGATTTGGGGATTGCAGTGTTGTTCAGGGCAAATGCCAGGTGTTTTCTTGTGACGATGTGCACTGATAGGATGTTTCTGGGGCAGGGTCAGCTTGAATCCAGACTGCTCCGCGCTTGCCGCAGTAAATATGGATCCACGTTCGACTTCGTCTTCATGCCCAGCGACGCCAAAGGTGAAGGCGAGAATGCTGCTGCATGGAGAGAGAAAGACTCAGCTAGAAGTCATGGATCGAATCTTCCTTTGTGGTCCCATATGGTCCCTCCTAGTTTTGCTGCAAAGGGTCTCAGTAAGGGCTCTCCTTCACCCCCCCATTTGTAGGTTCATGGGCAGTGAAAAACAGGCACAGCCCACTGTCGCACAGCAACCTTTCCACAGAGACAGAGGAGTCATAGTTTTGATGTAATCTTCCAGGGTTTTTACTTCATCTTCCCACGAACCTTTGAGTAGAGCAATTTGGTATTGCCTCAGGCAACCGTGGCCACGCCTTCGTGAATTTCATGCAGAGCGAGACGGCCAAGAAGTTCCAAGAGGACAGGGCAGAATCTCTGTCTTAATTCCCTCCTTGCAATAACAACCCCCACCACGCCCCGAGTATTTGTAGCAAATGCTACCCAAAAATGCCGTTCTACAAGGGGGCGAATCTTTGTTGTTGGGGGGCTCGGGGGGCTGATTGTTAGGGGGAGGGGATTACAACCCAGCCACATCGGTCGCTTGCTATGGCAACCATGCGTTGTAACCCCAAACCCTAACCTAAACCCCCCCAAACCCTATTACAATTGGGTCGAGGATTTCAATGGCAAGAAGCTCAAGGACTGCTTCGAGGCATGTGAAGAAGACAAGGCGCGCCGAAACCTCTTGGGGTTTAGAGTCTAGTGTTCCTATGACGATACGGGTATATTGCTTATATATATATATACACATGAGTCGCGGTCAAAATTACCGTTTACTTCATTTAGTCTAGGCGGTAGTTGTTACGCAAAAATCCCCAAGATAGATGGGGGACGTCCTAAGACTATAGGCGTAATTCATTTAAGGTAAGGTTAAGAGAAGATCCCCGAAACGTGGAAATCGATAGGGGGCGCCTTCACTCAACAGCCAAGAGAGAACAAACAAGTAATTTTGACGCCACCATATATATATATACATATAGCAGGGGTTCTATAGGACTTCGGTGGGGGTTACTAAGAGGGATACTAGGAGTTTAGACTCCTGATCATCCTTTACGTATCCTTGCTGATCACCTGTCTGCAGGAGTGTAGCGTCGTCGTCGCTCGCATGGAGAGTGTGGAGAAGACCATCCACCGTTCATCTCCCAGTTTTATCATCGATCTCAAATTTTTGTGCGTTTACTGGTGTTCAGAATATGCTATTCAAAAATCGCCTTCTGCCGGCTCCCAATATTCGTGTGGGCCTGATTCTGACGGTGACATCAGCATCTATTATTGATTGCGCTGCAGGCGTTCAGTTGCGAAAGGACCCGGACGCACCGGAATCGCCTTGGCTGCTGGGCCTAAACCCTTAACCCTGAACCCTAAATCCTAGATAGTAGTTCCCATGTTACTTTCCATTATCCCAATATAATCCCAATGTACTCGTATCCCCTATATCAAGAACCCCGCCTGTAATCCCTAGACTTCCCTCAAGTCCCAAAGGCGCGGAGAATTTTCCGGTGCAGGGTTTTAGGGTTTAGGGTTTGAGCAGTTCTGTAGCAGGGTCTCTCAACCCTCAGACCTGCTCAAAATAGGCGGTCGATCATACGGAATGTGAACCCTAAACCCTGTAGATCACAGGTCATGTGAACCTATCAACGAAAAATCTTGTGCCGTTTGCCCAAAGAAAGACATGATTTTCCACAAGCCCTAAACTAAGCCCTAAACCCAAAATCCTAAAACCCTAAGCTCAACACCCCAAAGCCTAAACCCTAATCAGGCTTCCTCTGCTGTTCGGAGAGGATGGTGAGGCCGTCTCTCAGCGGCTTGGGGAGAAGTCTGCGTCTGGTTGATGTCAGGCAAAGCCACTTCCAGCCATATCAGCTCCAGATACGGCAAAGGCAGGGAAGGAGGGAGGGAGAAAGAAGAAAAAAACAGGATAGTAATTACAATATGGTTATATATAGCCTTTGATAGGACCCCTAATACGGACTGTTACTGGCGGGCGGGCAGTACCCAATTTAATGTGTGTTTGGCGAGCAACTCTCAAGTGCCGCATGTCCGTGAGGACGAAGCGGAACCGAAGGCAAAGGCAGCGCAGTTTGAACTTGGCACGTAAAGATCAACTGAGTAGTGTTTTATTTGGGGATACTATGATACCCAATATAGAGTAAGATTATATCCTCCTGTTGGGGTATAGTATCTTATAGAAGGAACATAATCCTACTCAGTGAGTTGGTTTTTCTTTCTCACGTTTCCCGACGCGCAGTCCAAGCAGAAAGGCAGCAGACAGGCTTGCTTCTCAGATGTTGCTTGAAATCATGGTTTGGTGCTTTGGGTTAACACGTGTCTGAACGTTTGCTTGAACATGTCCATCCAAAAGTTGTGTTCATCAGGCAAGCAAGGATGCCACCCCGTCAGCATCGCACTCAGCCTCCCGTGGTGTCCCTCAAGACTAGGCACCTGTTTGGGTCCCCTGCGAAATACGATGCCTCATCTTTGGGGTGCAGAATATGGGTCCTATTATAGTCTTGCAGTCTATTTCAGTTTCGATCTTGAGGGATTATTGACTCTTGGTTGCAGATTAAGGCAGGAAAAGGGTATCCCGCCGCCTATCCGGGCACTGCTCTTAGTGCAGCATGTACCGAAAGATTGCAGTGCCAGCTGGCTCTTCCCTCAGGTTACTACGGATATCCAGCAGGCATGGGTACTAGCGGTGATACTAATAAGACAGAGCAAGAGTAATCCTAATACTATTCTAAAGAGCCGTATTGATCATAATAATGATGGGGAAAAAGCAACATCAACACAAATGGACATAATGATATGAACAATACTGGTGGCAGTAATATTGAGATACTACTAATCATAATCGTCATAAGAGTTAGAGCCGCAGCAAAGCCACAGTCATTTGTCCCATACCCTAAATCCTAAACCCCTAAACCCTAAACCCTAAACCCCTAAACCCGGTAGCACATGGCGGTCATAAAAACCCCTAAACCCCTAAACCCTAAACCGCTGCAGGCTTCCCGCCCTATCCAGGTGGGCCTCGTTCATATGGGTAGTTTCCTGACATAGGGGGACCCCAATGTAGACCCCAAAACATGAGAGTCCTTATGATAGGGACCCCCCGAGTGGTACCCCTAATTTTGGGAAACTCCCACATCTTTCGCTCTGATGTCTAACACGCAGCTGGATCCGTCTCAGCATCTCGTGTTGCCAGGCTACAATCCCGCAGTCTATGCCTACGCACAGCTTGCTGCCGCACAGAATGCACAGGTCCGCAGGGCAGGTGGAGTGTGGTGATGGTTTAGGGTTAAGGTTTTAGGGTTGGGGTTACAGAAAATGGGGCCCTACACCCGAGCATAGACCTCAACGCATTAAAGTCACGACTACAGGGACCCCCCTCCTCCCAATTTTATTTGGAACCCTAAACCACAAACCCTAGACCCTGAACCCTAAACCCTGAACCCTAAACCCTGAACCCTAAACCCGGAACCCGAAACCCTAAACCCGGAACCACCGCCAACCTGAAGCCCTATATAATCCCCCTCCCAACTCTTACTGGCCGACATGAGGCCCTCCACGTTGCCCAGATGCAAGCTCGAGCATCAGCGAGATCCCACAAAGGAGGCTGACTCGTGGCCTGCAACAAATTACGGGTCCTTTTCTGGGGTTTACAGGGTTTAGGGTTTAGGGACTAGGCTTTAGGGCGTAGGGTTTGGGGTTTAGGGTTTTAGGGTTTAGGGTTTGGGGTTTAGGCGTCCTTTTCGGGGGTTTATGGGGGTTGTACAGGGACATGTGGGGATATGTAGGATATATATATATATGTATATATATAGGGCTTAGAACTTAGGGTTTAGGGATCAGGGGTCAGGGTTTCCCAACATGAGGAGTGCCTTTTTGATTGTTTCCGCAACCAACGTATGTTGGGGGTCTATTGCGGTCTGCGAATAACTCCCTATAGATCCTATAGTAATCCGTACATCATCTAATGTGGACAGATTTTCAAGTTTGTCCATGATTCAAGAGAAATGGGCCTACGACGTTAGCAGTGAGGTTGAATCTGGACAATTTTGGGTCAGCTGTGACAGTTAATTCTACACTTTCAACTATCATATTAGAACTCATTTTCTTGTGATGTTCCAATGGTTGCTGGAACAGCTGCTATTGGCATTATTCATGCCACTGCCTTGCGTTGCGTGTGGTTAACCCCAGATCAAGTAAATCATCTAGCCTTCATCAGTACGCTGTGCAGGCAAGGGTGGTGCGGCCGCCGGCATCGTGCTGAGTATACTGATGCCTGAATGGCAGTGTGGCAATGAAGGTAGACTGTAGAGATTCTATAGGGCAACCTCACATGAGCTATAGTCTAAACTCTTGCAAGGGGGTTATACAAGGGATTATACCGGGGACTACCCTAAGGGTTATTTAGGCAGATACTAGGAGTTCAGACTATGGCTCGAATGGGTTCACTGCCTCCAGTTCCATTGAGTACTAGGAAGTCAGAGGAGTTTGCAGAGGTGTTTAGGCCAATGGTTTTCAGCGTTGAGGGCATCGCAAGAAGGCACAATAGCACTAAACCGAAACCCTAAACCCGGTTGATTTGAAGGTCCTCAGAGGAAATTGTTCAGGATTCCTTTAGTTCTATAAGGAAACTTCAGAAATGCAGGGAACATCATTTTCTTCAATGGTCGTTTTGGGAACAGGAATTTCTATCCATAACCGTACCATTTAAGCTTGATGGTGACGGCGAGAGAATGTCACAGTTGTCAAAGGTTCGCCCTATATGTACTTTGCACATATGATCCGGGCCGTGTCATCAATAGCAATACCGAGGAGTGTTCGCAAATGTCTAGGCCCTAAATCGCAACTTGAAGGCCTAAACCTTAAATGACAAGTCATGAAGCCTAAATGCGCAATGCACCAGATCCTAAACTTTAAACCCTAGGCTCCCAACCACAAAGCCCCAGACCCCGTTCATTGAGGCTTGTTCCCAAACATCTTGGATCCGCTGGCCGCAGCTGTGAATCACAAGGAGCTGTTTAGGGTTTAGGGCTGTGCCTGCGGCGATTTGGGGGTACATAGGTATTTGCTAGGGTAATTTTTATACAGCATAGTCCATAGTCCTATCAATACTTGTTTGTCATTATTAACCATCATCATCATCATCATCATCCTCATCCTCATCCTCATCATTGCAGGTGACGCTCGTTTTCGTAACATAATATACGTAGTGTACTCACTGACTGTGCTCTGCGTCCATTCGTTCAAGAAAGTCATTGTCCATCCGATACACCAAAGTTTCACCCGGGTTCATCCTTGAGCTCTACCTATTGTAGCACTCCCCAATACTTCCTTCTTCTCTTGCATTCATATACCTCAAGTATGGGGAAGAACAGCATCCATGGGCGGAAAGGCCACAAAAAGACCCTGACGAGGTCCCTGTCCTCAGTATCTTTGTTTATCGGTTTAGGGGTTCTAGGAGTTCTAGGGTTTCAGGGTTTTAGGGTTTGGGTTTTTTTGACCAGAGGACTTTTACGTCTGCCTGGAGGACACTGGTTGTTGAACGAAACGGCCACGGCCGATCAAATTGACAGGGTTTGGGTTTAGGGTTCAGGGTTTAGGGCGCAGATTCTGGGGTGGGCCTTGAAAGGTCAACTTTTGAAGGAGATATTGTAGACATTTATGAAAGGCCCAGGGCCCGACGGGCCACAATGAATCACAATGACTTACTGGTTCTTAGTAGGGAATACGGGAATATAATCCCCATACAATCCCAGTACAATATCTTCCCTGATTCCTTACTAAAAACCAATCAGTAAAAGACAACGAAGGAATTCAGATCAACTTGGAGTTCAAGCAGGTCGAAGAAACAGGTGGTGAGGATGATGATGATGATGGCACTCAAATGGAACTGTACTGAAAAAAGCTGACCAAGAGAGGCGATGAAAGAACAGACCGCAATGTAAGAACATGACCCTTTCAAAAGAAAAGCCCTAAACCCTAAACCCTGAAACCTAAGCCTTAACTCAGACCGTATGAGAAGTCACCCCAGAAGCCTCCGCCGCCAGGAGGATCAGGAGCTCTCGGAGGATCAGAAAATGCAGCTGAGGCATCACAGCCGGGAGAGTTTGTGGTTTAGGGTCTAGGATTCAGGGTTTAGGATTGAGGGTTTAGGATTGCGGGTTTAGGATTCAGGGCTTAGGGTTCAGGGTTTAGGGTTCAGAGTTTGGACCTTACGTTGTAGGGATAAGTGGATTGTTCACTAAGGTTTGGCGGTAACTTACTGGGGTTTAGTAGGTAACACGGGAAAATTCTTTACAGGGGTTATGTAGAGATTATATTCCCTCATTCCCTACTAACCCCCAATAAGGTAAGGAGTACTCAGTGTCAGCCCCAGAAGTGGTGATAGTGAGGCGGCAGCTCTGACCCCGGGGCCGGGTTTAGGGTTTGGGGATAGCATTCCATGGTTAGACATGGAAAGCAAATTATCATTTTTTGGAGTTAATGATGGACAGTAACATGGAACCTGCTGTTTTGTTTCGTAGAGTCAATAGTGGGAAATGAAATGGAAGCTACTTGGAGACACTGCCGCATTGCAGCTTCCCAATGCAGGCGAACCTGAACCTAGATGTTAGAATATTCTGATTCTTAGTGCTGGGAACCTTTAAGTGGTACCCATAGTCTTGGGAAACCGTCATATCATTCCCATCATAGTAAGCTGGGTGTCACATCTGAAGGCCACTTCTGGTCCTTGGCGTTTTGTGACTTGAAAACTGTCAAAAAAAGGGTTCAGGGTTTAGGGTTA